GGGCGGCTCCGGCGAGACCTGGTCCTTTCCTAGGGTTTGAGGGGGAGAAGTCTAGGGTTTAGGATTGGGTGGGTGGGTGGGTGGGGCGGGGTGGCGGGACCGTGGCGATGGGGTGGTGCGGCCACGAGGGGACGAGAGAAGCGGGACTGCGGGTGAGGGCGGGGTATGGAGGCGGGGAAGTGGGCGGCGGGGAAGCGGGCGGCGGGGAGGGCCAGCCGGCGGCGGGGGGCAGTGGCGGCGCTCCTCTCACGGGACGGATTGGCTCGGGCTCGGGAGACGGGACTTCCTGGTGAGGTAACCCCGATGACGTGGCATGTAACGCTCAGTCAAAACCAGTCAACCGGTGGAAGGAGTGGTTTTCTTTATAGAGTGAAGTCTATTTTAAACCTGGAATTCATAGTGATAGTTGAAATCAAACCCTCACGGCTTCTCTGGATCGCATGATTTGGAAAACAAAGAAATAGGAAAAATGAAAGAGCTGATTGCCATAATATAGCCAATTCTATGAATTTTTTCCAGAGCTCGGACCTCATATGTAAATCAGTACTTTGGCGACCCAATTCTAAGAAATTTTAATGACCCAATCCTGTGATCCAAAGCCGTTTTATAAGAAACAATCCTAAGGACTGATATCCTGTGAGAATCCTGTGAAAAATCCTTCAATCCAAAAAAGGCGTGAACCCTTGATCCTTGAAATCGATACCCTAAACTCACTGATCCCGGTCAATCCCGACCCTAGATCCATGTAGACTAATTTGGCAGGCTAGAAAAATAACAATCCCGGCCGGAATCGCACTCTGCTGTCACTGACTATATGGGCCCACATGTCAGATTCATCCTCTCCAACGATCCCTCGCTCTCTCTCCAACTGTGGCAGTCGTTCGGCAAACTCGACGGCTGGCGTATGTGTGGTAAGCTCAATCAGCTAGCATACACATACGTGCCCCTCGTCGTGCCACTGTCCAGCATCCACGCCCACTGCTATACAAGTCCAGCGGAGTCACCACAACCCGCCGCGTCATGTCCACTGCCTGGCGCAATACGTATCCCAGATGGAGGCACAGGCACGCAAATAGGGTAGTTGGCCGGTTTCTAACATGAATTCATGGTCAGCTCGGTCGAAGCGAGCTCAGAGGCGAGGTGAGCTGCAGGGGAGTGCATGCACACCACCTGTTCGACAGAATGGTGGTGGGTATCAGGAGATCCTTGTGCAGAATTGGAGCAGTAGGTTAGAGACAAGGGGGTTTCCGAGGGCTCGATATCACGCTCCCGACGGCCACGTCGGCGCCGGATCATCCCGGGACAAGTGGGTCACCGTGGCCATCATCTTGCCGGGGTCTCGGTAGCTGCGTGGCACTATGGCGTCGCGCTGCGTTCTTTGAACCGAGTAGCTCACTACAATGTCCATACAATGTGAGCAGGACGTCTAGCATGTCCGTTTTCTGTGAGGTCAAGCACGTCTGATACCTTCATACCCGTCATCCGCGCCGGCCACTGGGAGCTCAAGCACGTTCGGGCGTGGCCACCAGCAGCGCCACTAGCAGCATGCTCCTAGCGCTCGCCCTGGAGTGGACGTAGACGACGGAGCCGGCACTCAGCGGTCTCACGGACGCGGCGGCTACGAGCGTGTGGGAGACGGGAGATGGCGGAGGACAAAACAACATGGATGCTAAGCAAGCTGGGTGCCTTGCAATATTCGTCGAGGCACAGATGCTAAGCAAGAAACTCGTATTAGTCTGTTCGTTGCGTTACGAAGATCCATGCCTATGTGTCTTACTAGTAGTATCCGTTCCTATTGCTACTTGAGTTTTAATTCAGTTTGGCTTTTCATCTTTGATAAAAGGAGGAAGAAATGAATATGACATGTAGGCCCACATAGTAAGTGAGAGAAGTGAATGATCCCGGTCGGGGTCTTTCTGTCCCCGGTGCGGCAAACATATGTAGGGTTGAAATTAAACGGGATTAGCCAATTCAGGGTGCCGATTTTAGGGATTTAGAGTTTAGGGTTTAATTCCGACAACGCATACTATTTCAAGGTTTAAAATAGACTTTACATTTTTTTACATGGACGAGAGTGAATTTTTTTGAGGGAGACTCTCCTTTGTTTAATCCCGCCTGCAAATCTCAAAGCGGTGATAGCGTGGCAATCCTGAAGGCGCATCGTTTGCTTGAAAGCATGTATGGCACTCTCCATATTAAAGTCTTTTTTAGAAACATACTGCTTAATACACACACAAACGCTTTCGTACACGCGCACACGGCTAGTATACCTTAACTCTATTAGCATCTCTATAAGAGACGAAATGGCACATTTCAAAATTGATGAAGTTATTATAGGTGTCTTGACATGGACGTCTTCTCTCAATAAACGAACATCGATAGAAAGTCTAAAATAGAATCAAAAGAACAAAAGCATTCATACTAAGTCTAGGCTTTAAACCCAATAGGCTAGTTCCACCACAAGTCAACAGGAAGCCTAAAGTGTTACAAACTGCTTTTAGAGTTCGGGGAGAGAGAATTGAACCAAAGGAAAGTTTGGGGTAACAATATAAATACTATATTCTAGAAGAAAGAAGTGTATGTGTATCTTTGGTTTGGTTTGTTGCCAATATGCACCTTATCAATTTTTGTCATGACCAAAACTTTGGTCTTACTTTGGATGGTTGCCAACTTTTGGCATACCAATGGCTTCTTATCAACTCTAGTTGGTCAACTTATGGGCACCCAGAATATTGGGTCTTAAAATTGACAAAGTCACTACAGCCCTCAGTAAAAAAGGTTGTCACCACAGGTGGCTCACTATTGACAAGAACATCGCTGAGAAGATAAATTATCTTTATAAGAGAGTGCACTATCGACGGTAATGTCGCCTTCCACTGAAAGAATAATTCGTCATCTTTAGTGCTTCGCCGGCCATGAATAATTACACCTTTTAGGGCATGAATCCGACTGCTAGTCCAGGCCGGATGGGTTTAATCCTAGTTTCTACAAAAAAAATCGGGCACACAGACAAGCCAAAAATCAGCAACCTATTATAAAACCGCCCACATAGCTAGTATAAAACCGCCCACATAGCACTACTACCCAAAAAAGAGCAAGCCCGCATCGCAGGCGCGTGTCCTATATCGCTCCAAAACTGCCCTATCAAAGCTGTAGCCAAACAATGACAAATAGACTCAAATCTACAATAGCATAATACATATAGGGGCCGACAAATCAGTATCCTTCTACGTTTGCAACTCTTGTGTCAGCGACGAAGGAAGCACCAAACGTTTCTTTTTGCCCAGCCCAGGAGAATCGGTTTCCAGCAACACACCTGTGAATTCTGCACAGATACTGAAGTTTGGTATAGAGATTTATCACAGACTTGCAATGGATGTCTTTTGAGCACTGAGAAGATATCTCCTTTTTGGCTGCTGACTAGCTCACATTTTGACACTACGGTTGTCCTATACACATTGGATGACCCATAAGGACAGAAAATATATCCTTAGTCTTTTAAACTGGAAACCACGCGTTCTTCAATCTTTTCAGCGTAAACGCCGTGTGTTTCAGCCACTCTGAACTGCAACCTGCGTTTCAGTGTGTTCTCGGCGTTCTTCTTTTCTCTGCTGTTCTAATCATCTTCGATTTCCTGCTGCCGATCATCTTACTACGGCAATTCCTTCATGTAGTATTTGAGCATGGCTAACCAATATGTGATTCTCTGATGAATTCCACACACCAAAGGTGCCGCGCAAAACCGAATGATAATAATTATGCACCGCAACACACAGTATTTCTTATTTCTTCATCCAACAACTGAATGATATCGCATATTCTATGTGATGGATCAAGTTCCTGCCCACCTGATGCAAACACCTTAGCAGCACCCTTCACATGGATCCAGCTACAGCCAGGAGACTTCTTGACACCATGCTCTGCCATGGCTCTCCTCACCCCCTCCGCCTCCTTCCACTGCCCAGTGGCGCACAACAAGTTGGACAGGACCACATAGCCGGTGTCTCTCACAGGCTCCGTCGACACCATGCTGCTCCCCACCTTCCTTCCGATTCTTGTGTCCAGGTGAACTGATGAGTAGGCACTAAGCAGAGACTCGTGCATATCGCTGCTATGCGTATGAACCGTGTCAGAGTATTGTTCCAGCATCTCAATGGCTTTTGCGATGTTCCCAGATCTAGCATACATGTCGAGAATGCAAGCTAAATGCTCTGGGGTTGGCTTCAGTCCATGGACAGACACCATCGACTCAAAAAAGGTTCTCCCTTGCTCCAGGAAGCCAGAATGGCTGCAGGCTGTGAGCAAGCCTGTGAACGTGACTTCATCGGGGCAAACATCGTGGGACAGCATCCTTTCATACAGCGCAAATGCTTCCTTTGCCCATCCATTTATCGCGAACCCAAACAGCATGGTGTTCCACGAGACAGAGTCCTTTTGAAGAACGGCATGGAACACATTGCCTGCACCCTCGACATCGCCACACTTGGCATACATGTCCATCAAGCTGTTGGCCACATACAAGTATGAAGCAAAACCACTTTGGAATGCACAGGCATGGATCATCCTTCCATTGGCCAGAGAAGCAGCGGTAGCGCAAGCATGAAGCACAGCTCCAAAAGTGAAATCATCGGGACGGATATGCTCGTGTGCCAACATCTTGACAAATAGTGCAAGGGCCTCATCTACGTAGCCATTCCTCGCAAAACCACCAATCATCGAAGTCCAGGAGATGTCATTGGTCTCAGGAGCACTTTGAAACAGAGCAGCAGCTTGTTCAATGTGGCCAAGCCTGGTGTATGCATCGATCAGTGAATTCCAGGACACAATGGTTCTACTCTTCATAGACTCGAAGATCTTGACGGCATGATCTAGCAAGCTGAACTTACTGTAGAAGGAAATAAGTGAGTTATTGACCTCAGGGACCGCATTCCAGCCACTCTGCACAACGATCTTGTGGACTGCAACGCCGGTGGATGGGTAGCGCAGCTCCGTGCAAGCGTCGATTAGAATACAGAGCGTTGCATCGTCGCAAGACAGTCCCGACACCCGCATCTCGTTGAACAGAAGCAGACACTGCTCGGCATTGCCACTGCGGGAATACCCCGTGAGCAGCGTGTTCCAGGCAACACTGCTGATGCTTCCAGCGGGCATTTCGTCGAACAGCTCGCGCGCGAGCGCCATACGGCCCGAGGCGACGTAGGCGTGGAGGAGCGAGCACCAGGACAGCGCGTTGCGGCCGCGCATCTCCCGGAAGGCGCGCGCGGCGTCGTCCGCGCGGGCGCACCTGGCATACATGGCGACGAGCGCGTTGCCGACGGGGAGCGGCGCGCGCAGGCCGATGCGGAGGAGTCGGGCGTGGAGCTGCGCGCCGGCGCCGGGCGAGCGGAGGGCCGCCGCCGCGGAGAGCGCTGCGGTGAGGGAGAAGGCGTCCGGCGTGCCCATGCCGGCGAAGAGCGCGAGGGCCGCGCGCGGCTGGCCGGCGCGGGCGTAGGCGGTGAGCATGGCGTTCCACGCGACGGCGTCGCGGCGGGGCATCGCGTCGAACACGGCGCGCGCCGCGGCGGCGTCTCCGGCGCGGCCGTGGGAGGCGATCCTGGAGGTGGCGGCGTCCAGGCCGGCCAAGGCGGAGGGGGCTCCATGCTCTGCCGCGCGTGCTGCGGCGCGGCCCGCCTGTGGGTTTATTAGGCTCATCAAATGGGGCAGGCGATGGCGCGAAAGAGCGGCACGCTCGCTCGCTGGTGCTGAAATGTAGTAGTGAGTTTTTCTCGAAAGTCATCTTCTGCTCGCCAGCTCATTTGAGCTCGTGATGAATAGTAAAATCAAAAAAATATTAGAAGAACAAATTAAAAATTGATTTTTTTTGTGGCCAACTTTGGTTAGTGTTTTAGGTGCCTGTAAAGTTTCGTAGAAGTCATGGCAAAGAAAATAAAATCAGCACTTCAAAATGCTTTCGAAAATAACATTTTTGGAGCATTGATATTTTTCCCATGACGTCCACAAATGTCATTCCATGACTCAATACATTTGTCAATGTTTGTCTCAAAATAAATTCAGAATTTGTATGATTTTGTTATTATTATTATTTTGGATTTTATTGTTCACCGAGCTCATTTGAATTCAAGCTCAGAGACACCACGTCCGCCTTTTGTTTCTTAGCAACTTAACGTTGACAGTTACTCCCTCCTCTCCGGTTTATAGGGCTCATTTCAAAAAGTTTGTTTTTCCGTTTTACAAGTCTCAATTCTACTACTTCATCCGTCTAGGTGAATAAGCCACCTTGCGAAAATTAGATAGTCCCAAAATGTTTAGGCGCAGTACATTAATTTTCCATCTCGATGCCCGCCTTGTCTCATTCGGCGGCGAGCGCTTCCACCTTTGCCTCGCTGCCTCCCGTGGAAACCCCTTTTCTCCGATTTTTTTTGCTCAGGCAAGGACCAATGCATGCAGCACGTCCATGCGGTTATTAGGCAAGAAATCAAAGCGCTTTTCATGATATGAATTACGAGGGCCTGCATGGGATTAAATGTTGTGATTAAATGTTGTGTTTAGAAGATAGGCGTATTCTTCTTTTCCACCAATCTGCTTGCACCTAGGTCGTGATGCACCTTCTAATATGACTTACTCATCTAGACGGAGAGGGTATTTACGATCATATGTTCAGATTTCAAGGTGTATTAAATCACTGCATGCAAAGATGAAGAAAAAACTCACCAATGCATGTAGAAATTCTTGGTCATTAAGTGCTCATGCATGTATGTGGTGCAATCAATGCATTGGTATACACAAATTTTTCAAAAAATAAGAGTACTAGTTAAGTATTTTTGCAAACTGCTGAATTAATTTCATCATTCATCATCTATCTTGGTTGAATTTTTTTTTAAATTAAGCCTTATAAACTGAAAAGGAGGGAGTAAGACATAAATCCCTTTGGCACCGCCGCCGCAAAAAAAACTCTCGATATCGTAATCAGCAAGCCGTTAAGCTTAGTACAATATATACCCTGAGGGGAGATTATCCTTAATTAATCCTAACAGTAACTAAATGCAGTGACAGAAATGTTTTTGCTATGACCAATGATGGTAATTGTAGACTAATAGTCTGGTAGGATTAGTGTCGCAAGATACACCAAACATATACTCCCTCCTTTTCGGTTTATAGGGCTTATCTCAAAATCTTAGTTTTTTTATTTTATAAGACTCAATTTGGTTGTTCCCTATCACAAGTTCATATTCCAAGGTGCATTAAATCATTGCATGCAAGTATTAAAAAAAATTAACCAATGCATGTACGCATTGCAATTAATACATTGATAAACATAAAATTTTAAGAAAAACAAAAGCATTAATTGGGTGCTTTTGTAAATTACAAAAAGTATTCCATCACTCACCATCAATCTTGATTGGTGAGAATTTTAAATTGAGCCTTATAAACCGGAAATGAGGGACTATATATCAGAGGTTACTGGCTACGGCACAGCAATGGGTGCAGCAAATGTGCAACCAGAGTTTTTTTTTTTTGACATGAAGTGTGCAACCGCAGTTTTTTTCGACATGAAATGTGCAACCACAGTTAATATACTGTGAAGATGTTTCGTAGCAAGCAAACATAAAGTTGACCCTGAAAGAATATAGAGCATCACTCACAGTAACTTGACCTAAAAACTGACTAGGGAGATCTTACGCATATGACATAATTATATCTAGACCCGCAACAAAAACATAATTGTCTCACTAGTGTTGTTGGTACGCAAGCACATATGAATGACATATTCACAGAATTCATACATACAAAAACAAATTGGCGACGCCAGCAGTCATTGAACATTTCTATAGTCGTATAGCTTTGCTTTATGCCCATACCACTATTCGGTATGAGATCACACGAGATGACGCCTCATGCAGATATCAAGCCATCAGGAAGAGAGAGACCCTCCTCTGCATCTCCAGATAAAAATTTCCGGCACGCGTAGAAGATCGCCGAGTGGAAACCCACAGGGTTATCTATAAACACAAAATGTCCTCCCTGCATAGCAGTTAAGGTATACGTTGTCAATACAGTAGAAGTATCTTTTAGCTGTACACATACTGCCAGAAAGGAAAACTGACCTGTGGGACTCTGATGATTTCGCAAGGAACTTTCATGTCCTTGCGTGCTTGCTGCGCCCCTTGGTAATTCATCCAATCGTCATGACCATATATGAAAGTAGTTGGCACTTTCCAGTCGGATGCACTGTTGCAAGTTAATAGGCCAGTTAGAAAAATATAAATACATTTATGATGCATGATTCATTATATCTGGTATTTTTGGTCAATAAATTACTGCATCTACAAGATCATTTACCTTATCATGTACTCCCTCCGTCCCAAAATAAGTGACTCAACTTTGTAGTAACTTTAGTACAAAGTTGAGTCACTTATTTTGGGACGGAGGGAGTATATTAAATATATGGACGAACATTGGTAGTATAGTTATTTAGTTAGTTATAAGCTAATACTCTCTTTAAGAGAATGTGGACGATTAAAACGTAGTGTAGATTAGGATGATCTCTTGCCCCCAACAGATTTTATCAACTAAAGTAGTTTCACGACGAGCAATTTCTGTCCAAACAAGGGGAGAATTCTTTATTTAACACCGTGTCTAAAATTTATGCCCTATTTGACATCGACAAATAATTTCTTCCCTATCTAACAAAGAATTTAAATTTTATGCCTTTTATAGCACTTTTGTCCATTTCAAACCTAAATGACACCTGAAAAGACTCTTTTGCCCTCATGTGGTATGTTTGTGTGATGTTGCACGCGTGCGTGTACGTGTACCCGTGTGCTACTGCTCTGTGTGTGTGCGCGCGCGCGTGTGCGTGTGCTGCTGTGTGTGTGTTTGCTAGTGCAAGTGTATGTACGTGTGTGTCCTGTTACGTGCATGTGTGTTTGCTAGTGCATGAGTTTAAATTTTTTGGGTTGAAACTAGGCCCCTATGACCAGACTCTGTTTTTTCTTTTCAATCCCAGCCATCTATACGACTAGATGCATGTGTGTACCGGTATAAAAGCTTTTGCACCGCGTCCTCCGCCTGTGTTGTGTGTTGTGTGCGTCTGTGCTGCTGTGTGTGTGCTGCTGCTGCCGCCGCTGCCGCGTGTGTGCGCGCGCGCTACGCTCGTGTGTGCTGCTGCCCGTGAGTGTGCTGCGTGCGTGTGTGCTGCTGTGTGTGTGCGCGCGCGTGTGTGTGTTGCTGCGTGTTTATGTGCTGCTGTGTGCGCTACTGCCTCACACTGATGTTGCGTGTGTGCTACTGTCCTCCACACACATATGCCACATGGGGGTAAAAGGGTCTTTTCAGGTATCATTTTGACTCAAAATGGACAAAAGTGTCATAAAAGGCATAAAATTTAAACTCGTTGTTAAATAGGGAAGAAAAAGTTTTTCAGTGTCAAATAAGGAAACGAAATTTAAAATAGTGTTAAATAAGGAATTTTCTCCCAAACAAGACTGGGCAATGTGATGCCATGGGAGTAAAAACTAATGCGTGGTTCAATTGCATCAGCTTGGTACTAAATTCTTATCAAGCATGAAGCATGTGAGGAATATTTTAAGCTTTTGAAATTATAATCTGGTAAAGGAGTGCATCCAGGATCGATGACATTACGGAACTAATGTCAGAATACATGACAGGATTGCAGAGTAAGATGTTCAACTTTTCACTACATAGACCATGCTGGAATTTGAATCTATGCATGGTAAACAATAAGAGGTTATTGGCAGCCATAGTTATCTACTACAGTACCTCTGTAAAGTAATATAAGACATACTAGTTGAGTAATATAAACCATCTTATATTAGTTTACAGAGGGTGTACTTGACTAATGCTATAAAGGGAGAAGAAATTAACAAGTATGTCAGGGAAGAACATGAGAACAAACCATATCATGTCCGCTAAAGATTTGAAAGCCACAATCAATGAAAGTGAATTTTGCTCAACTAGTTGGGTCCACACACTCCTTTTTGCTTTTTAAAAACAGTTTTAGATAATACTCCCTCCGTCCCAAAATTCTTGTCTTAGATTTGACTAGATACGGATGTACCTAATACTAAAACGTGACTTGACACATCCGTATTTAGATAAATCTAAGACAAGAATTTTGGGACGGAGGGAGTATAATGGAAGGGAATCTTATGTTAAATTCTTAATCATTACTAAGAAGCATATCTATTGTACCTGCTATTAAGATCACCAGGGAAACAGTTCCCAGAAACTAACTACATAGGAAGAGGAGCTAACCTGTGCAGAAGTGGTTTCCTTGCAAATGCCCCCAAGGAAAAAATATGTTTTAAGCACAGCTCTCCACTAGCTTTGGCAGCTAAAGTGTGGTAAATGTAATCTTCATATACAAGAAAGCAACAATAAGGTTCAGTCACAAGAATCATCCAAGAAAATGAACTTACTGGATTTAATGTAACAACGAATGTTTACCTGTCAGCAAGGAGGACTCGTTTTCTGTTAGTAATTCACCTGTTGAATGTGAGCCAAACCTAGCAGTGGTATATCTCCGAACTAAATCTGGGCCCCAAGGACCTAATCCTCTGTTTAAGTAAAATAAATGAACGTCAGTACAGAAGGTACCAAAGAGGTAGCTTAGAAAGGAAAAAAGACTCAATCGTATTTATAAAAAAACACAGCAGAAATTCGATTGCTTTTGCATTGTTGCAGCTATCTGCACTTCAATTTGAACATAGTACTCATCTACTTCAATAGAAGGAGCAATCCGGTCCTTCCATCCATTTTAACTGACTGAAGCATGACGTGGTTGTTATAACCCCAGCTGTGACTGCCAGTTCAGAGTATATATGATGGCTTCAATGACTTCTAAGTCAGCAAAAGGAATTTGATTGCGATTTTTGTTAATTTGTGTTAGTACTTTGGAGAACAATTGGTACTTTTCTATTTGATAGAAAAATAGTAGTGGAGCTTCCGTTCACTTTGCTTTTGCTGTTTTCCCAACAAAATCATGCTGGCAGGTTTGGTCTGATATGGCTGTCACAGCTGGCCACATAATAATTCCATCAGTTAAAATGGGAGTGATGGATTGCTCTGTTTTATAAGGTACGTGCACTTTGCAAACTTAACTAGACGTGGATGATTGCTAACAATGAAGCGGAGAGGCTTAGATTTCCATCTTGTCTTCATTTGCATTTTTAGGTAAAAAATGAAAATACAAATAGAAGAAGCCCTAGCCTTACCTCACAATTCTCTGAGGAGTGAAATTGGACTCCCAAAGATGGTTTACTAGCATGCCTTTCCACGTTGCACGGAACTTGGTTAACCACTCAGAACTATGATCTGTTTCTGACGAAAAGCCAGCAGAACCAACCAAAATCAAGTGCTGAACATGTTCAGGATGCTGAAACAAAGCATACATTTTAGTATAATAATCATAGGAAACAGTCGAGTAGCTTCACTTGCTAAATTTATTATAAATATACCTGTAAGGCATACTTTGCCGCAACATATCCTCCGAAAGAATGACCAAGCAATATAAAATTACTGAGGTTTTTTGCTTTGCGCCATTCCTCAAAAGAATCTATGAACCAAGCCTCGGTTTCTGTTTACAAAGTTGACCAAAATAAAAAACGGAAGGAAGCCTGTTACTCATTGTTTCAAAAAAGCATATACCAGAAACTACATCACAAAGCAATATGATGGAACAAATCTACATGGGTTTCTGATAGTAGCAATTGCTCGCAGGATTGTCAAAAATCGGAAAAAAGGGGGATGTTTCACCATAAAATTTGAGGCCAAGGCATGGTCAATAACAGACATGATAGTGGCAGTTGAGGGGAACCAGTAGCATAATAAAATATCAACAGTACCTTACAAAGTCATGCAACAAATAAAGTATCTGTATCTAACCTTCAGTACTTCTACAGTCAAAGTCAGGTCTGCTTGATCCACCCCAACTGCAAAAGGGTAGGAAAAATTCAACAGTATGCAACATCAAAGAATGTGGAGTAATTACAAGAACAGTGTAAAAAATTTATCATGCATGACACATATCCTAACAGTAGGCAAACATTTGTGTATCGTCAGACTAATTTTCCTTACCTAGAGGTAAAAGGACGTGCGTGACTCCTCTTAACTCACAGTATGATAACATTCAATTTCTAACATATATCTTGAACTCTACGATCAATGAATCTACACTAATATTTTTCTTTCTTTACGTCAATTACAAGAACGAGTAACATTAACACCGATAATTGTAAACAATCAAAATTAGATTTGTGGCATGTGAACAAGCCATGAATCATATCCTAGTATTTTGTGGGTATGCAGACATATTGTGTACAAATATTGCAATGCACAAAACTGTTCAGACCAATATCCCTTTTCTACATGCGTCAAGGACAATTGTAACAATTAAGAAACATTGAACAAAGGAATGGAAATATAATTACTTCAATCGCCACACTTAAGGAATATAAGTCACAGTAGTCTTGATTTTCTTAGAGCTTACCCAAGCTGGTCAATGGCAATCACCCGGAAACGGCTTGCAAGGGCATCAAAGTTTCTAAAGAAGAACCCCTGTGACGCACCATAACCATGGACCATGACAAGGGTGGGAGCATTCTCCTTGCTATCAAATGTCACTGTATTGATGAACCTTGGCTCATCACTTGATGATCTAAACCATTTTACTTTTGACCCAGGTGGAGCAGAGCCAATGTTAACTTGTTCTTGGACATACCCAGTTCTGCAAAGATAAAAGGTTACGTCATGTATCAGAACAATGAAATTTTTAAATCTTCTACAATAAAATAAAGGAAGACCTGGAATATCTACTAAAAGCCAAGTAAGCGTAAAACTGGGGATATCCCATGTCAGTACTATAATACAATGCTATATGTTGGAATGAACACATATCATAATCCCTCGAGGAGTTAAGGACTTAAGACAATGGAAAATGTTCTTTAAATGCCCTTGTTACACAAATCGAAACAGAGTAATATATCGACCAAGCTATCATGCATTGGATTTGGAATGAACGACTAGATCGACAACAAACACAGTTCGCTCTTCCGTTCACCATGCAGTTCATGATTATATTTTTTAACACGGTATATAGAAAGACCAAATGGACAAAGTCCAACTAACATATGGTCAAGGATTGTTCCAAAGTACTAACATTATCAAACAGTACAATATATGGTATTACTGATGTATGAGCTTCATGAGACCAAACAGACACTAACCGGCAGACAGAACAGCCCTCAACTCCATGCTTAAACGAAACTGAGTGTTATGCACAACAATCGAACAGTTCAAATTAAATAATAAATCCAGGCTTTAGTGATCCCAAAGTGACACGCTGCTCTGATATGGTCTCAGATTTAAGGTACTATAGTAAGTTCCACATCACAATTGGCTCCAGAACCAGTAATCGAGCGAGATGGTTTTAGCACAAACAGACAGCTGTAGTATTCACACCCGCGATTAGCGAATTACAGCCCTACAAGTAGAGCAACCCCCAAAATTGCGATACATGGGGAAGTCAATCAACTCTTACGACTCAATAGATAGTACACCGAAGACGCGGGAACAACTAATCGTCCGCCTACCACTAGTAATCGTCGACCAAAACAACTAATCGTTCTCCGGGAGAGGGAGGGATAGGGGTAGGGGGAATAGATACTAACTTGAGGATGGAGAGGAGTCGCTTCTCTGCGGCGATGATGCGTTCCGTGGAGGTGGGGATCCAGCGCAGCGCGGAGGGCCAGACCCGCGCCCACCGGGAGCCCGCGGGGGCCGGCACCGACGCGGACGCGGCCTCGGCCGCCGTGGCGGCCGCGGACGCCTGCCTGACCTCCTCCGCCGCCATCCCGATCCTGATCCTGGTGGTGGCGGCGGCGGCTGCCCGGCGCATGCAACGCGGCGCGAGCGAGCGAGCGTGTTCCCCCCGCGCCGGCTCTGCTGGGCAGATTGGTAGGAGTAGTCACACGAGTAGGCTCTGCCGCGATTGTTTTTTTTGGGGCGGGGGATGGGGGAGAGACCGGGCTGGTTCTGGAGGAGTTTTTATGCGAGGGAGAGGCCCCGACCGCACGTTGTGGTGGTGTGGGCATCGGGTTCTCTGATCCGCGTTACGTCAGGGCTGGCGTTCGCGTGGCCTGGAGCGCAAGCAAGGGAGGCGCGCGACGAGACGAGTCGACTAGTAGTAGTAGCAAGCGCGCCACCGTTGACCCTGCGCCACGTGCGTCTTCTTTCACGGTGCGGTTTTCCGAGAAGAGAAGAAGGCGCCTGGTGACTGGCAACGCCGCGGCCGGAGCGCGTGGCGGTGCGACTGTCGACGGCGGCGAACATGTGCAGCGCCGTTCTTATGCTCATCACACCGTGCGTCACAGCGTGAATGGCCTTAAAAAACATGGTACAAAGACATACGCCCGCATACTCGCTCGTGTGAACATGCAAAAAAAAAAAACATGCACACACAGTTTATCCATATGAGCGTCTTTGAGACCAAGGCAGCGTCGGAAAGCATGAAATAAATCCAAAAAAATGTGACCATTTGTGCCAACTTGAATCTGAGTGGACATTTTTGATTACCTTACTACGCACACACCGGAGGTGCCACTATCACTAAAGATCATCACCAAGCTCATGCACGCATACGCCTACCCAGAAACAACGACGTATGGGGCACTTCTTGATGACACCAGAGGCTCAAACATATAGAGCTAGAGACATGGTAGTAGAACATGCGCCTCTTCTTTCTGGATTTGTGCGTAAACGCTTGTACCCGTGGGTTTAGTTACTTGGTTACCTAGTTATATCCCATAGTTCTTTTGATCATGTATAAGCCAATTTGATACATCTTTAAAGATGTATGTTTTCAACCATTTTAGGAAATAATCCTCCATGTCGAGACACATAACACTAAACTTACAGTGTGTTATGCCTTCAAACCAATAGTGACAAATTGCACACGTGTCTCAACTTGTGTAATGTACTCCACTGTTTTCTCTTTGGGTCTCTTTGGATTGATACAAACTACAAACCGAATACAATAAAAAATATGAACCGTTAACTAGTTGATACATATTGGGGAGGGGGGGGGGGTTCTTCACCTTTCAATTTATGTGCCCGGGTTGTCTCAATCATATTTGGCAAACATTAACCAAAATTTGACATCTTAATAATATGATGTCTGTCGTGGGTTTGTCACGGCAGATGTCCTTGTGAAAGGACTTAGTTGTGGAGTCATCGCTACGGGTTAGCTCAAAGGGGTTAAACCGGACAAGGGGACACGGAGATTTTATACTAGTTCGGCCCCTTCAAGGAAGGTAAAAGCCTACGTCTAGTTGTGATTGGTATTGCTAGGGTTTCGAAGGCTAGGGAGCGAATCCGCTTTGTCTGGCTCTCGAGTTGTTGTCTGTCCCTAAACCGCGGCCGGGTCGTCTCTTTATATACATAGGTTGACGCCCGCCGGGCTACAGAGTCCCGAAGCCGGATCATAAACGTATCCGGTTTGGTCTCTGTCCTTCCTATCTTATAATACAAGTTACATGACTAGGTCGGTTACATTTACAGGCTTTAACCCGCCTTTGGGCCTTGGGCCTTCGTGAAGCGCCATCATCCTTGCATCTTCATGGGCTTCTAATCTTCAAGGAGTTAACCCGGCTACAGAAGGCCGGTTTACCTCCAGTAGTAATATCCCCAACATTAGGCCCCAGATTGGTTTGAACTTGTTCATGTCAATCTTCTACACTTAGAAAAATTCTTCCCTCATATCTTCACCTTGATCTTGTAAACCGCCATGACGTCATACTCCCAGATTATGATAAACCGCCCTGGCGTCATCTTTCCGTTGATGTCGACGATTACCTTCATTTAATGTGTATTCAGCCACCGAGGCGAAACCTTTATTAAATTATCCATTTTTGGGCTCCTCGATTCTCGCACTTGCCGTTTTATCACTTTGCCTTATAAATAGGGGCAGATGACCCCTTTCTTTTCTTTCCACTACCCATTCATCTCTTCTTCTTCTTCCTCTCGACGACCCCGCACTCGAGCGTCGTCGTCATCTTCGAACCTCGCCTCTGCCTCGCCGTCGGCCGCTGCATCAACCTGTTCGCACCAGAGTTCCACAACGCCCTTCCGCTGCTTCCGCGGTCGCAGTGAGTCCTTTCCCCCTTCTTTCCTAGATCCATTAGGGTTTCCCTGTTCCTCGCGGCTCTTGCAGTTCATCGGAGCTTTTGGTGTTGTTCTTCCTTGGCCTGTACATGAATGCTTCGCATTTTATCGTATCCCTTGCCGTGGCTAATCTTATGTTACCACCATAAATCCATATGCGCAAAAGCTGATATAGTCCTTCATAAACTGTTTCGGGCCTTACCCTTTTTAGGTCAAAATATTTTTGCTTTCATGTCTTATCTTAGATCCGAAATTATCATATGTTTATGTGAAATCTGTTTCTCCTCATGCCAACCTAGGCGGTTTAACTTTGTATAATCAATATGTACCATTAGTCCTCTGATAAACCGGAGGAGACCTTTACCTTTACAGTTATACTCCGGTTTAACAGTGTCTGAATACTCCTGTCCTTGTATTACCTTTTTTCCCTTATTGCATTGGTCTCTGGTTTACGCCATTTCACATATTAGTATGTTTCTTGCTCCATTGTATCTTGCATATCATCATGCGTGATTTATAAACCAACCTTTCATTTTCAGCTTGTTTGTTTCGCAATGGCCAAACAATTCACTGCTTGCAACTGGGCTCATTCCCGGGTTACTGAGACTCAATTGAATGAGATGGTCAGCATCGGCTCCCTGCCTAAGAAAACTGAAATCAAATGGCGAGTTCCAGGAACAGAAAATCCTCCAACCCCAAGGCAAGGCGAGGTGGTGGTCTTTGTTGACCACATAGGCCGTGGCTTCAAACCGCCAGGATCAAAGTTTTACCGGGATGTACTTGCCAATTTCCAACTCCATCCACAAGATATTGGGTCGAATTCAGTATCCAACCTATGCAACTTCCAAGTCTTCTGTGAAGCATACTTACAGGAAGAACCGACTGCAGAACTGTTCCGGGATTTCTTTCACTTAAACCGGCGCACAGAGTTTGTAAATGGCCCGAACACAGAACTTGGTGGTGTCTCGATTCAAAAACGGAAAGAATTTGAATTTCCTCATGCCAAACATCATAGCCACCCAAAGGAATGGAACCAAACTTGGTTTTATTGCAGAGACACTTCGCCTGCAGACGAAAATCCCCTTCCAGGCTTTCGTGAGCACCGGCTTTCCAATACCCATCCGATGCCGCAACGTTTGAGCTCCGCCGAAAGGGCGAAACATGCCCCTCAACTCGCCAAACTTCGGGCCTTTATGGCCAATGGCTTAACAGGCGTGGACTTTGTGCGCTGTTGGATATCCTGGAGTATCTTGCCACTAAGCCGGCGTTTCGGTTTAATGTGTGATTATACCGGTGAGGTTGATGACCCTCAACGCCATTGCAACCTTCAATTATATGAGGAAGAAGTTACTGAAGGTGTAAAGAAGATTCCGAATGAATCGGAACTGGCCTGTAGTCAAACCGGTCTGAGTCCCTTCTATGCCAAGAACAAACCGCCTGCTGTAAGCATTATACTTCCTTTTCATCTCTAATATTTTTAGCTTATACAACCTGTAACCCTTCTTCTATGTATGCAGGGCGATGACCCCTTCTGGAAACGGAAAACCATAGAGAAAGCGGCAAAGCCGACTAGGGATAAAGTGGTCAAGCCATCCCGCCCCAAAACCAAAGCCGTAAAACGAACGTAAAAATGCAAAACGGCTGACCGGATCAACATGGAGCTTGATGACGACACTGATGATCCAGAAGTTGAGGTAGAACTTGACTCACTTGGCTCTCTTTTCATGCATCTCATTAACAATGATCTTCCTCGGGAGGACGCAGAAGCTAGTCAAGCTGATGATGTAGAGGTAATTACCCTTTCCTCCGGTTCAGACTGTATGCCAACACAAAAAACTCGCCAAGCAGTCCAGAAAGTAAGCTTTTCTCATCCTCTTGCTCACTTGGATCCAACATTTATTTTGAAGACTCGACAGCATGAAGCTCGCCGGACAACCCGACACAGTGGCCAGCAAGTCACTTCAGCCGGTTTACCTGATACTCCGGTTCGGAAGCGCCGGTCTGAGGTCTCTCCTACTTCTGACCATTCTTACCCCAAGGCAGGTTATTTTAGACAGCCTCTTAATCCATCCGATTCAAATTATCAGGTGACACCTCCTTCATCTTCTGGCGAATCAACAGCAACTCAACTCCCCCCTTTGAAAACTATGGCTGGGTAAGTTGTAAAAACTTTTCCTTTCAATGCGTCATAAATCCTTTGAATAGGATGTTAATCCTCTTTTATTCTGTTTGTAGGGCCAAAGCCAGACCCAGCAAGAAAGCTCGGGTTACCAATCGGCTCGAAGACCCGGTCACCGAAGAAGAAGAACCAAGAGGTGAATTGGAACAAACTCGTGAACCGGAAAGCCCTCATCCTGAAGCTACTTCTGATAACCCACCCCTTGAAGGCCAAAATACTGATGAACCAACAGACGTTGAGCCTGCTGTGCCCGATACTGAACCGGCAGAACCAAACCGGGCTAGTCCGGTGAAAGATGCTGAAATTCCAACATCATCAACCAAAACCCTAAAGGCCAAGGTGATGACGTTATTATTACTGGAATAGGCCATAGCTCTCCTGCCCATCCTGTAGTTTTGGCTCATCACAGTGCTAAGGAAGAGCAGGCTGCTAGAGAAAAAGGCAAATGGAGCAACGATTTGGCAAGTTATGCTCATCTCAACGCAGAGGAGCTTCACTCTGGATTCTTGAATCGCTTGCACGCAAACTGAGATTATGAAGCCGGTTTGGTAAATTTG